GGGGCCAGATGGGTTGGACTTTTTTTGCTCTGGGCTGGGTCATTTCCACGTACGGGTTGGACAGATTGCTTTCTTTCTTGGGGTTAGAGAGGAATCTGGGTTGAGTATTGAGTCAGGTTGGCCAAATAAAGGCCCCGGTCACTTTTATAACCAGTTTGCCTTATGGGTTGTCTTATCCATGCTGCAAGTCTGCAGCTAAGTTCAAATTTTTTTTTGAACTCTAGCAACTGATCGAGAAGGCACATAGCTCTAGTACTACTTTGAGACACGAAGAGGGCTAATAGCATCAGCTAAATCTTGACGGTGGTGAAAGGGAGAAACATAGCTACTGTTGACAAGGAACAACCGAACTGTGATGGCAGTGGATGAAGAAGCTGACAATGAGGAACGTTGATGGAGGCAACTTCAGCAACTCAACATGGATAATGCTCTCCAGCTGATGATTCAAAGGGAAACTCTAGTTTCCAACTCTTCTTCTGAAACGATTGATAGACACAGTGAGGATCTGTCCTGTCTCGTGAAAGAGTCCCTCGAAACACAGCTGACGAAGATGATCCGACAATTAAGGATCCACAAAAAGCTGCGGAAATCAAAGCTATACTTTGGTGGGTACAGGAACGACAGATTGATCATTGTGATGCGGAACGGTAAAAGCACTGATCTCAATTGAGAGAATGTAGAGGGAGCTGTTTCTAAAGTGTAGACTAAGCAATGATGGATTAAGATGAGTGTATACGAAGCTATGCGATCAATTTTGAGAGCGTAGACTAACCTGTGATGGATTGCACTGCACGTAGATGAAGATACATGATCGCATTTGAGAGCATAGACTAATCTACGATCTAGGAGCACGAATTTGGATATGATATAGATCCGGCGATACGAAAAAATCTTTAAAAAAAAAAAAGATATGGATACGGCTAGAATATGTCTATAATAAAATGTTTTATATTGTCCTATTATTTTACGACTTAAAATTTTCAATTTTTAATAATTCTTTAACAATAATAAGCAAAATTAACAATTTTTACCTTGAAAAGGATGTAATATCATCTCATTATGATACATTCATAAAGTAAATGTAACCAATTAAAGGAATCAGAACCTACATTTAAGTAGTTGGTTTGCTTGTAAGTATTTATTTATGAGATTATAGTGTAACTAACTCATGTTTTATACTCTTTTGATATGTTATATTAGATAATACTTACAAAATACTCGTTTTTTCAAAGTCAAATGAAATTTTGTTGATGTTTTTTATCGTATATGCGCTCAAAAGGAGAGTATAGATTAAAATTAAAAATTTTACATCTTACTCCGTGTAGAAAAATTTGCAAAGTATTCACATTATCACATATTTTATTAATTATTGGATACGTATGATGAGTATCGATACATACCCGTCCGGTTTGAACGGTTCATATAAAATCCCCCCGGCTCACTGAGTCTTAGGCGGGTTTAATGACCGGTCCGGTCTAGCCAGATACATTTTCGTTTGGATTAAAAATATCTTGTCTTCTGCTTGGTCTTCCAAGCCGGTCATATCAGCCAACCCTTTATTGGCTAGACCATTAGGAGGGTAAAGTCCTAATCTACTATGTAGTAGTGGGCACACATCGTGCAACATTATCTATCGAAAAAACCGTTAAAAAAACATCTGCAAAGTTTGTGATATCTGCAAGTTTATTGCAAGATGTGCCAGGTTTTGATCATTTCATCACGGTAAATTTTAGCATAAACTTCATTGAACAGGTCCTGCGGTGGTTCATTTCATTTGCATCATTCTTTCTCTGACCAATGTGCATGACGTGTCTACACTGTTGATATGCTTCATTGTCAACATGTTTACCATTAATTACTTATGGTTTGTTGCTTTATAGTGTGTTATTGAAAAGCTTTTATTTATGTCAGATGCCTTCTAAAAATAAAGCAAAGGGGATCTCTAAAAGGATGAAGAAGATGCAAGAGTTTGAGAAGCGGTTGCAGGAGAGAGATTTTGAGCGGGCCTTTTTTCGGGAGTTCTGGCCAGATAATATTTGATAGTTGCATCATTTCACTTGTACAATGCTTGTATATGTATTTGTTACTTTTCTGGCATTGTATTCTATATTTTTAAAGTTTGTCAATCCATCAATTGTTTTTGACCCCCAAAAATATATTCATTGTTTTGTTTTGGCTGAAATCCTAGATCTCATCTGCACACAGACGGAATTGCTTGGCTATGGCTAAGAAAGGCGACGTGGGTTAATTCATGGTTTTGACAGTTTTCTAATGGCAGTCAAAAAATCCCTAGTCTTATGGTTCCTTCAGTTATCATCCATAGCTGTAATTTGCCTTTTTTCTTTATATTCTGTTGAGGGTTTTGACTCGATTTGAAAGTATTTTTATTGAGCTACATTTCCATATTGTAGGAATTTGTACATCTTACCATTTTTTTGTTCTTGGGACGATGAGTTATAAATTAATAGTAGTAGTTTCAAATAAAACTGACCCAACAGTAGAACTTCCCTTTAAATATTTTTTGGTTGTATTCATTTCTTTGTTATGTGGGTGGTATATGACTTCAAAGGAAAAATATTTAGTTATCAAACTTTTGTCCTTTTTTTGAATGTTAAGTGCTATTGTCGCGCCCTATTTTTCATACAATGAGAAACGTGAGTTTAAAACCATAATGTTCATACTTAGGTTCCTCTAGGTTTTCTTAAGAGATTGTTATTTCTTTTTTGATGATACTTTAAATATGCCTAAGGTTGAGTTCGGTAATTTGAGTTGTGCTCTCTAAAAATTGGGGGCCTAGTTCGCTTTGGATGTTCATGGAACTCGAGGTCAGACCTTGAGTTCTCAGCAACTGCATCTCAAAGAGGGTAGCATAGAAGACAACTGACTTTCACCAAGCATCACACTGATAGTAACGATCGCTTATTCAGGTAGAAGAATCGCAACTGACCCAACACTCTCCACAATCGTTGTGGGATAGTAGCAACCGCTACAAGGAGGAGCAAGAATCACACCAAGGATTAAGCAAAGCTTAGGGTCAACTACAAATTAGGGGCATAACCCCCAGCCATACACAAAAGCCACTATTGCTAAAACAAGAATTCTTTAATATCTTTTCTTATCAATATAAGTCCTAGGAGCAAGAGACTTTCTTGAAAATGGATTAACTGAGCTTCCGAACTGGTGAACTATTATAAACTCTTTGTGCATTAACTCCCACTCCATGGTCCCAAATCTTAAAGAGCCTAGGAGCTTAGATTGAATAATTTAGTGCTCATCAAATTCATATCTTTGCTCGTGCGTGTAACATACACCATCAGTTGGTGCCGTCTGTTCCTGTTAAAATTCTACTAATCTTCAGTAATTGATAGTTTTCACGCGCAACATGAGCAGAAGTCAGATGAATCCCTTTCAATTACAGAACCAACAAGAAGTTGCCACCAGAAGACAACAAAAAAACCCTCGTGATTTCCTGCCTAATCCAGAGGTTGACCCACCCACGGTAGATCCTCCTTCGAATAATGAGCTTGAAGTCTTTGTTTAGTCAATCAGTGCCTCCTCTAGCAAAATGAGGAGTTAAATCTCGTCCAACGTCCCCAGAGGGCACAACTAGCTCAGGAGGATCCCTTACAGAGGGAGCACCAACACCTTTATCCCCTGAGGGACATCACCAAGGCAGACGAGCATAGCTAGACAGTGGGTAATGCCCATCGTCGAGTTTAGAGGAACGAAGACAACGAGGAGATACAAAGCTAAATAGGGGAACTCATAAGAATGAAAATCCCCCATTCCAGTAGAAAAGGGAAGAGCAGTTCTGGGAACAACGCTTCAAAGAGATCCAATAGGAGCTCAGCCGCATGAAAGAGGCTGTGAAGGGCAAAACCCCTAAGTCCATGGGCGCCTTTGTCTAGCAGAGAGAGTCTCCCTTTACTCTAGAAGTGTAACACCCCGCATTTTCTTTTATATATGTATATAGATATATAGTAAATAATTGTGATAAAAAAAATGTGGATATATGTAGTGATGTGTGTTTGAATTTGGTAGATTGAAAAAGTAGAGATTTAAAATGTTAGTGAAAATAATAGTTGAAATTTGATTTTAATAAGTGAAAATATGAAATTTTAGGTCCTAGAACTTGTATTAAATAGGTTTGGTTTAGAAATATATGTTGGAGAGGTTTGAGATGGATTTAGTTGGCTTAGGAATGGATTGGAAATGAAAAAGGGACGAAGACAGGCTGTGAACAGTGCACGTGAACAGTGCACTACTGCAACTTCAAGCTCGATTTAGACCTTGATGCAGTCAATATCTCAAAACTCAAAAAAATGAAAGTTTTAGAACTCTTTCGTATCATTCCTTAACATCTTGAATCATCGCAATCGGAGGTTGGATGAGAGAGTTATGCTCAGATAACGAAATGATGTCGAAATAGTCCAATTAGCTTCGTTTTGCATTTAATGTCTCAATTTGCATCCTAAATCAAAATATAAGAATAATGAGTACTTTTAGGCTTCAAATAAGTATAAAAGGCTTTAAGAAACACCTTTTATCACCTTTTATTTGCAAACATCGTAAAACTTCATTAATAGCCGATTCAGATGGGTAAAATAGAAACTTTAGTGTTTCGGGTGTACGTTGACTTGGGTTTGAGATAAATCATAAAAATAAATATTTTTAGGTTAAAATAACATTAAAAATGAATCCCGAACGTCGAAAAATCTTAAGGTAGTCATATGGATCAAATTGGAGATTCTTAGTGGTAAAATCGTAAATTTGGAGAAATCCAAAACAGCCTGTGAACAGTGTTTTTCGGGGCTGCCATGTTTTAAACTCATTTTCTCTCATTTCCTTCACTCCCCTCACACTCCCCACACCTCTTGAAACCCTAGAGGGCATTAGAGAAGAAGAAAGGAAGGAAAAAACAAGAGATTCAAGATCAATTATTCTTGTTCTTCACTCTAAAGCTAAGGAATTAAGGTAGGAGTTTTCTCTCATTCACTTACATTGAGTCTAGGGTATTTATATATATATGTTTTGGCTATCAATGATATATATATATATGCTATGGAATCATCCTCTCTTAGGCTTTTTGCAAGGATTACATGTTTTGAACAAAATAGGGTTTAATACCCATAAAATGTCCTTTCTAGTTTTAAAACCCTAATTTTTGGAGAGTGATGTATTTCCTTCCTAAATATTTTCTTTATTATGGATTTAAAAACCTTAGTACTTTGTGTTGGGTAGAAAAATGATGTTATTGTGATCTCATGTATTTTCTTAGTTAGTTGTGGAACTGTTATATGATATATTTTGAGAATTTTGGATTGATGCTTGTAAATTGAGATAAATGTTAGAATTGTATGCTTGGTTGGGTTGTTTATGATGCACATGAGTGAGAGGTTCCTTGTAAGGATGTTCACCCCTTCCCAAGAGGTTCCCGGTAAGGATGCTTGGAAAATAATGTAGTGATTGGTGAGAGATTCCATGTAAGGATGCTCATCCATTTTCAAGAGGTTCCCAGTAAGGATGCTTGAGAATCAAAGGTGACCAAAAAGGGAGGTGGAGGTTACCACAAAGTATGCCACCTACCGAAATAATTGTTGGGAATTGATTATGGTAATTAATGGTTATTATTTGTATGTGGTGCTCA